GAAAGGGGAAAAAGAAGAAGATAAAAAGGAAAAAATTATTCGGCCGATCTCGATTGGGCTGATTATTTTCCGGCGACCTAAGAATGTCCTCCCAGGTCCCGAGGCTCCCTTGTTCGGACGTTTCCCCCCTCCACTGGGGAATTTGAAAAATGCCGAGGAAGTCCCACGCCTCGGGCGCGAAGGTCCCGGTCCCGGAGAGGAGTCGCCTCGGCGTCGAGTCGCGACCTCGGGGAAACTCGGGTACAATGTCTCCCCTGTCGTAAGACGGGCCCCGACTAACGAAGCATTGTTAACAACACTCGACAATAGTTCCTATTGATAACGCCGGCCGGCCGCCCGGGGCTCGCGGGCGAGTAAACGCGCGTCGGCGGAACGGCGGGAGAGGGGAAAGAGATGAGAGGAAAAAAAAAATGAAGAAAAAGAGGCCTCGGAAACAAAAGGAAACCGAGGCAACCACGCTAGGCAACGTTAACCGCGCCTCGCCTCTTATTATCGCGCGATTCGACGCAATCCTTCGAGCAGAAGCCCATTATTAGCCTATCAGTTGTTTGTCTGATTTGCAGCCGACCGCGGGCGAGCAAACGACGTCGGCGGCCGCGGAGGCCGGCCTCCGCGGAAATCAATACCGATTCCTACCCAATTCCTCGGAACGAGTCAACCCGAATCGCGATTCCGTTCCCCGCGAGCTAACCCGCGAGACGCGGCGACCGTCCGCGGCTCCGCGGAGCTCCGCAGCCGGCGAGGCGAGCCCCGAGACGCGCATTCCGCGCGGCCCAGAAGTCGCGGCGTCTCCGCCGCCGCCTATAAATAACCGACTGTTTACTCGGCTTCGTTCTCAAAACGCGCGTTTTTCGCCTCCCCCTCGCGGTACCCCGGGCCTAACCTCGAACGAACCCCCCTAAACCAAGATCGAACCTAACCTCACACGAACCAACATAACGCAAGATCGAACCTAACCTTAAACGAACCAATCTAACCCAAGATCGAACCTAACCTCAAACGAACCAACGTAACGCAAGATCGAACCTAACCTCAAATGAACCAATGTAACCCAAGATCGAACCTAACCTCAAACGAACCCACCTAACCCAAGATCGAACTTAACCTCAAACGAACCAACATAGCCCAAGATCGAACCTAACCTCAAACGAACCAACATAACCCAAGATCGAATCTAACCTCAAACGAACCACCATAACCCAAGATCGAACCTAACCTCAAACGAACCAATCTAACCCAAGATCGAACCTAACCTCAAACCTGCTCCGGTCCGATTAAGCGCGATCATCGAACGGATCCTCTGAATGCCTTCAAAGGGAAATAAAGGGAAAAAAAAATGCGACCCCCGATAGGGAAGGGCAGAGAATTCCGCGAGTCGACTTTTCCGGACCGGAAGCCTTGGCGGCCGTTTCTGCGAGCCATTGTCCTAATCTCCCGTTCCGGGAGAACCTTGCGCTCGCTCTGGGTCGTAAATAAACGCGGTGCTCCCCCCCTGCGTTTTCCGTCCCGCGGTCGCGAGTCAGCTGCCCCTTCTGCCGCGTCTCGCGACATACGACCGTTACACTAGCTCGCCCAATTTGCTGCGCGTACGTTAACTGCACGGGCCGCACGCACCTCGGCGTCGCTCGGCCGTTTCCGCCGATCCTCGGCAGCGGTCGGCTCGCGCTCGCGCTCGCCGCGCGAGAGCCTAAAGATAGGTTCACACTGCCGTCCCGAATATAGCCGTTCCCTTTCACGGGAGTTATTCCATCGATGTGACGTTTATCGAGCGGTCGTTCCTCGATCCTACCGGCGAATCGATATAATAACCTCGATCCTACCGGCGGAAACCGGAATACGCGACGGTCGTCGCCGAATTTCCGAAAATCAAAGCAGCCCAGGGATTTCTTTTATTATACGGCCTGAAAATATACCCGCGAGTTATTAAATCGGTATAATATTAATGGAGCGGTCGTTCCTCGATCCTACCGGCGGAAACCGAAGTCGCGACGGTCGTCGACCATCTTTTCGCCGAATTCCCGAAAGTCAAAGCAGCCCAGGGATTTCTTTTATTATAGGGCCTGAAAATATGCCCGCGAGTTATTAAATCGATATAATATTAATCGAGCGGTCGTTCCTCGATTCTACCGGCGGAAACCGAAAACGCGACGGTCCTCGGCGGTCTTTTGGCCGAATTTCCGAAAATTGATGTACTCAGAGATTTGTTATTATTTTATTGTCGGCCAATGTGCAGGCGAGCGGCGCATGGCGCGGCTCGTCGCGGGGACGTTATCTTATCTCGGATCGGCCGAGGCCGAGGAATGTCATTGATGTCCGAAGTCGGAGATCCCGGCACGTCGAGGCGACGGCCGTCGATCGATCGGTATCTGGATTACCGATGTCACGGGTCGGCAGGCGCGTCGACGCGCGGAAACCCGGCGGCGTTCTTGCCGTTCCTCGCCTCGCCGGTCGACCTAACCTCTCCAGGAAGGTAACTCCGGTTTCTCGGCGCACCGCGCAAAGGTCGCTCTCATCGGACACGGTCAATTGCCGGCGTCGTTTTTCCCGAGCGACGTTTTTCTCGCGACCGATCCCCGACTCGTGTTTATCAAATCTCCGATTGGCAACGCCGTCGAGTCACGTGGCCCCAGTAGTGGCTCCAAGGCCTCCGGTTCGGCGAATTCTAACCTCCATTCCGAAATCACTCGTCTACCTCGTAATCGCGTCAGTCGGGATTAATACAAAACGCGTACCTACACCTCGATAAAGGAAAAGAGGCAGCTTAATTCTCGACCTCTGGCTACCTCGACAGAAATCGTCCCATCGATCACGCGTCGAAGCTGTCGCGGCGACCACGTGGTCGACCACGTGGCCGCGCACGTGGTGGGTCACGTGGCCGCCGGCAGCCAATAGGAGGAGAGGAGGAGAACAGCCCAGCTGATCCCGCTCGCCAGGCAGAAAATTTCGACGCGACGAATGTCCCTTCCCCGGTCCCGCGAAATAAAATTTAATCGGGTTAAAATACCTTTTTTCGCGTTAACCGCGGCTTTACCCAACCCGCCGCCCCCGTTTCACGGTTGGTATTTAATTGCCGCTCCGAGATCGACCGATTAAAATAATTTCGTAAGAGTGATTACCGGTCAAAGGGGGAATTCCTGGTCGGCGTTACCGATTTTCCGCGACTGTTATCTCACTCAGAGCGTCGTTTCGCGTACCGTGGAACGATTCGACAACAAATCGGCCGTTTTAACGGCGGGGGCCACGTCGAGCCAGGAAAACGATGAACAGACGCTGCTCGATTTATGAGTCATTCGCGGCACGGATAAACAAGCACTCGGCAACCTGTTTAAAAATACCCAGATGCATTTCGGGGACCACAAGTCCCCCGGGGGAATACTCTCACGGGAGAAACAATAGGTACTCTCTGCTCGACCTAACGCAAATCTCTAATTCGAGCCATAAACCCAGTCCCCCTCGAGAAGGAACTCCATTCGACAAAACCTCCGCTTCCTCTTTTATTTTTTTTTTCCTATGGCCAAATATCCCTGATAAAGCGCCTTGCGCAATTTTACCGCGGCTAATTATGAGGGAGGGGGGCAGAACCAAAACCGAAGTGGCCTCTCTTCGTTAAGAATCTGCGCCATTGGACTCGCCTAATTTCACGGCTTCGATGATTCATCGCCTGCACGCGTTGAGTGAATTTATTGCCAGTCCGAGAACTCTCTCACGGTGACGCGCAACGCCAAGTGTTACTCTCCTTGGAAGAGGACAACTTAGTCGGTTAAATTTTCTTCGTCTGTTTGAAAAGGCACTCGATAGAAATTTTGAATCACTTCCTTTATATCTCTCTGCCCGGAGATGGAAGTCGAGGACCCGACGAGACGGATGTCGCCCTCTCGTCGGGAGAGATTATCCGTTCCGAGAGAGCCTCGCCTCGATATCGGCCCTGACGTGCCGGCCTCTCCTTTCAGAACCGCATCCTCCCACGCGAGACCTCGCGAGGCCTACGTCGACCGAAACCACCGGCTGTAACCCGCGAACACGCGTTTCCACGTAAACTCGCCGGTCGAGGGCAATTTCGCGTTTCGACCACTTTTAAGGCGATTCGACCACTCCGAAAGAGATACAAAAGTGACACAAAAGAGATCCCATTACTTTTTTCCTTTTAACTTTCTCCGAACTTCATTTCAAGCCTTAAGACGCGAAAATGGGGGTTAGAAGGAAGAATTCCGACGCAGAGTAGACGCGACGACTGGTCGCCATGGTGACCGGGCGACCACGTGACCCGGACCACGTGGCGTCATGAAAATGTCTCCCAGGGATTTCTTGAATTTTTCAACCGTTGTATCGAGATGATCGGTTACTTTTTAGGAACGAAATTAACCCCGTGCTAATTCGAAGGAGTCGTAAAGGAGAATACATTTCGCATATTTGTAGGTTATGGATCACGTTTCCGGCGATATCGTCACCGTTAAACAATCGTCGACGGTCTTCGTTGCCAACTTCACGTCGCGTGATTCGTCACGCGTCGACTCGGCAGCGATCGGGCGCGCACATGTGCGACCGACACATAACCTCAAAGTCGTTCCGCCGCCGGGTGCACGGTGCGTTTATGCGATTACACGTCAGACCTTCCATTAGTTTTGATACGCGGGAGTGTGTTGAAAAAATAGAAAGAAAGGGAGAAAAATGAAAAAGAAGAAGGGCGGTAACGTCATTTCGGAGCAGGTTACCGGGTATTCGAAGAAACACCGTCGGCGTGTTTATGACGCCATCGTCGGCGACAACCGGGATAATTACCCGGTTTCGAGCGGGGATTCTCGAGTGCTAACCCGGTTATTATCCCCTCCCGCGGGCATCGAACAAAGCCGTAGAAACAAGCGGCGTTTGTTTACGTCCTCGGTAGTCCCGGCGAAGAGAGGTTAGGTCGCTCCTGGACGCTCCCGGGCCGGGCGATAATTAAAAGAAAGGAGCTCCTGTACCCTTTTGAATAACAAACCCATCCAGATATAATTCCTCACCGAGCGAACGAGCTCCATTCAGTTCAGCGGACGAGTCTCCGCGGTTGGATTAAATCCTTCAAGTGGCGAAACCACGGCAGCCATTCGGAGATGCGAGCCGAGCTCCCCGGCACTTCCGTTCGCCGTTCACTTTGCAGTTAACATATCCCAGTAACCGAGGCGTGCTCCGAGATCTAGGTTAGAACGTCGAATTCGCGCCGCCACGGGGCCGCGTGAGTACTCCCTCGGAGGAGTCCCGGGAATTCTCGCACTCCGGAGTCTCGATCCTAAGGGACGCGCACTTTGAATCCGTCGCATCTCGTAGGCGCCGGTGTCGCCCCGCGCGGCCAGTCGGCGCAACTCCGGCGCGGCGGTTCCACTCCCGCGAGCATGTCGGAGCGCGTCGTATCCCGATAATCGCCCGTTAAAACCGACCGTGGAAAAAAAGGTGGCACACAGCCGCGCCCGAATCCTTCGACACGGTAGACTCCCGGCTGGCGACGAAACCGCGTCGACGGTCACTAAAGCTCAAGAAAACCGAGTCCCGGGTCACATCTTCGGGAGCTGGCGCCGCGCCGGGAGCGCCGTTAGCGGCGGCCCGCGGAACTAGGGCCGAAAGCAGCGGCGCTTCCCTCGGCCCCTTCGCGGTCTCGCTCCCACCAGCAGGCTCGCGCTCGCTCTCTCTCTCTCCCCCCCGGCACTTCCGAGCCACCTTCCTTCCACAACGAGTGAACGTCCACGCGGTCCTCACCCACCGGGGCCAACTCGGTCCAATTCCGCGGCTCTCTTTCCGGCTCGGCCGCACGTAAACACCCGCGCTCGGTCACTTCCCGACTACCGGAGGAATCGGCAGTCCCCCACCGGTCGCGGGTCCCCCACCACCGGCTCGCCGAAACCGGCGTCCGGGCGCCGTACGAGCACCCGGCGGGTCCACTTCCGGCGGAACCCGCAGAGCGTCGCCGCGCCGACGCTCCTGACCCATCAGTCGCCGCGAAACACCCGTCGCCAGAGGAGGAGATTAAGACGAGAGCAAAATATCCAGAGAGAGAGAGAGAGAGAGAGAGAGAGAGAGAGAGAGGAGACGAGACCGAACGCGCACGTAAACCGGGCCGCGCGATCCCGAGGCGAGCGCGGCGAACAGCCCGCGGCGGCCCCCACGTTGTTTGTCTCGCGAGTGGCCTGTTTACATGTTGACTCTCTGTTTACGCGTTCCGCCCGCCGACCCCCACCAGCGATGCGGGCCTCCCCTCCCCCCTCCGGCCCGCGCCGACCCGCAGCAGCTCCCCTCCCCTCCCGCCCCTCTGCCCGCGCGCGCGGTCACCGCGTGTCGCGAGGCCCCCTCTCCTCCTCCCCTCGCCCTTTTCCCCGCCGCTCGACTCGTGCCGCCGGCCGCTAGCCACTATTTCTAGCGCGACGCTTTATCGGCACTCGCGCTCCTCGGTTTTCTTCGATTCCGTTGAATTTTTATAACGCAGCTCCGTCCATCATTTTCACTTCCCTCGCGGGCGGGTTCCTTTGTTTATTGTTTTCATAGCTAAGGTCTAATGGACGGATGAATTATGGGGATGGCGCAAGGCCCGTGGAGGAGGACACTTGCGGGCCCCTAGATTTCCGATAATGTCCCTGTGGAATTATTTTCCCACGGTGGAGGGGATAATCCGCAGAATTGACCCCGGTGATTAATACCGGGTTTTGAGGATCGTCGATGTATCGATATGTGGAGGCTTCGTTCGGGCGGGGTGACCCTTCCAGGGTGTTTTTTTACCTTTCCGATAGATCCGCGCTACCGGAATTGGAAAAGGAGAAAAAGGGTAAGCCGAGATATCGCTCGGCCACATCCCGGGGTTGTTGACCCGCCGACTCGCCGGATGGTTCCGGCGCGATGAAAAAATCCCGGTGCACGGCCCTGGGGGAAAAACAGGAAACGGCTCGATCCCTTTCCGATACCTCATGATAGCGCCGATAATCCAGGGAAATGGTACCTGGCGACTTGTTTTAATATGGTCATCCTTGGACGCGGGGGATGAGAATTCTTTCGACACTTTCGGCGAGCCGTCCAAGATGGCGGCGGGTCTCGGATAAGGGACTATCGCGGGGGAAAAGGAAAACCTGCTAAGGCAGGGACTCAGGGGGGGCGAAGTCACGGAGAGGGATACTTGAACGTAATGCAATTAACTCGCTATTAGCGGCAGACGTTGAACGGGTCCATCGTAACGAAAGTACCTCCCCCCTCCCGCGAGAGGGCGCGATTAAAGCGGGAAATTCGTTAACGGGCGTACGGTCCGTCGATAAGATTAATTGATAAATTGATAAGCCCGGGTGTAATTTCACTTGGGCGGGGTACGCGAGGCGAAAGATAAATATCCGATATCGCGGCTGATCGAGTTAACCCCCGCGAGGATTACCGCGCCGGAGAAAAGCGGGTCGAGTGGTAATTCGAAATTTTCGATTATTCCAGGCCCACGGAAGACGCCGTTTCCTTGGTAACGGACGCTGTCGCCAGCTTTTATTTCGACCAAGTCCAAGGAGCTCTCGATCCCGTTTAGGGACTCTACCGATTTTCCGCCGAGCATTCTCGAGCCAGGTGTACAAGGGTGGTTAGGGTGTCGAGGGGTAAATGCGCACGCAATGCGTTAATAAGTTCCTCGGTATATCGAGAGAAGAGTGGCTTTCGGAATAGTAAATTCGAATTCCGGGCCCGGCTTACCGGGATACAAATAAAGTGGCGGATTACAATAAAGAACATCCGTCGTAAGGGCGGATAATTCTCGTAAAGTCGGGCCGAGAATAAGAAGGGTGCGCCGGCCCGCGCCGGGGATGGCCGTGCTCGGGTCAAGGGGATGAAAATCGGCGCGGAACGTCCCGGCCCTCCCCACCCGGGGGGAGGATTCTCCTTTTGGAATTGGCCTTGCGTGGCGAACGAGTGAGAGTCCGTAGATAAGGTAATCCGGATCTGAAAACTCGCCCGAGACCGAGACCGTCCCCTGGCCCTGGGGTTGTGAATGTAAACTCGGACTGGTCGAGCCACCCCCTGCCCGACCACCCTCGTCGTCCTCGGAAAACAATAAACAGGCTGTACCGCGTGTACCGCAGGACCCACCCTTCGCGGTTCTCGGTGAAAGTCCTCGGAATTTGCCCGACACTTACCCTGGACCTGGAACCGAGGGGGTGGTTTTCGCCTCTCGGTCGATTGCGACCAAGTGTAACAACGCGAGGCCGCCTCCCTAAAGGGGGTGGACCTTCGAATTGGCTCGATATTAACCTCTCTTTTCATTTCGGGGGGATTGGGGAGGGACTTCCATCGAGGCTCGGGTAGATTTACGCCCTCCCTCTCCCTTTTTCCCTGATTTACACAATATTAAGTGCGATAAGAAACCGAGGCCCTATCGCGCCCCACCCTCCACCCTCTCTGATTGACACCGGCCTCGAAGTTTCCCCATTACCGGCGAGTTTCGAAAATCAATGGCGGCTCCTGGGCGGCAGTAATGCAAGGAACCAGTTAAATCGCGCGACCTTTATTGCCACCTTAAAGCAGTTAAGTTAATTCGGATGTCGCCCGAGGGTGGGGGGTGGTGGAGTCGGATCGCTCTTTGGTGTATACCGCCTAACGCTCCTGTACCTCGGTGCCGGATAGGAGAGTGCGCCAGAGAGAGACGGAAAAACATTAACATAAATCAGAGAAGAGGCAAGCCGAGGGTGAGAAAGGCGGCAATGAGTCGATGCCGAGGGTGAGGGAAAACGGGCTTGTTTATTCGATTCCTTGGGAACACACCCTTTCTCGGTCCCGTTTCCTCGGCGAAACCACCCCTGTTCTCGAATCGTCTCCTAGTTTTACCCCGCGGGGACGGGGTAATTAGTATCGTGAAAAGTTCTAACTACCGAGTCTACGCGGCACCGCGTTTACGCCGTCGACGGGGTGGCTTCTCCGGGGGGGTGGAAAAGCGTTTTAGGGAAATTGTCTTGGCGGTGGTTCCCGGCCCCTAGGAACTCCACCGTCGATCTCGAACGATCTTTGTTAATGTATTTCCGCGGATTTTCTTCGACGTCCTCGCCGAAAACGGGCACTACTCCCTACGGGGTGGGTGTGCGCATAGGTGCGCACGTGTACGCACGTTGACGCACGTGGGCGCGAGGCGGAGGAGAGGAGGCCAGAGGAGGGCACCACTTAGCCCCTCCGTGCGGCCTCCGTGTTGCACGAGTGCCAACCCTCGAGAGCTCAACTCTTTCGCTTTTAGCGGGAATTCGATGAATTGCCGCCCACTACGGGCAATAAATAATGCATTTTGTGTTTGCCCCCGGTAAAAGGGTCCACCCTTAACCGATCATCCCCCGGACGCCCGGTCCAACGCCAACCGACCGTAAATCCAGGAACGACTTTTCCCTGAGAGAGCCGACTACTCCTACGACGGTCCCACTCTTCGATTGGCATTGCCGAGTTTCGAGCTGGCCAACTCGATGGCGACTCGATGGCGACACGCGTGAGGTGAATCGAGGCGAGTATCGACGTGGGATTCGAGAGGACCAGGAGGCAACTCCCGGCGACTTGGATACTCCTTGGGACTTTTCACTTCGAGGTAGGACCCGAACGTGGTAATCTCGTGATAATGTTATATGATAATTAACCCTTTCTTCTTTTCTCCATCTGTGCTAGGATAGGAGAGATTCTCTTCTTTCCCGCCAACAATGGAGGAGCTTTTCTTCCTCGGCGAGACGTCCTCTACGGCTCGCTCCGATACATCCCACGAGGACGCTTTGCTTCGCGTTTTATGCCCATCGTGGATTCGAGAGGACCCGGAGCGACCAGGAGGCAACTCCCGGCGACTTGGATATTCCTTGGGACTTTTCACTTCGAGGTAGGACCCGAACGTGGCAATCTCGTGATAATGTTATATGATAATTAACCCTTTCTTCTTTTCTCCATCTGTCCTAGGATAGGAGAGATTCTCTTCTTTCCCTCCAACAATGGAAACGATCGCTCGCAGTCGAGGCGCTTTTCCTCCTCGGCGAGACGTCGTCTACGGCTCGCTCCGATACATCCCACGAGGACGCTTTGTTTCGCCTTTTATGCCCATCACGGATTCGAGGATTCGAGAGGGCCAGGAGGCAACTCCCGGCAACTTGGATACTCCTTGGGACTTTTCACTTCGAGGTAGGACCCCAACGTGGCAATCTCGTGATAATGTTATATGATAATTAACCCTTTCTTCTTTTCTCCATCTGTCCTAGAATAGGAGAGATTCTCGCCTTTCCCTCCAACAATGGAAACGATCGCTCGCAGTCGAGGCGCTTTTCCTCCTCGGCGAGACGTCGTCTACGGCTCGCTCCGATACATCCCACGAGGGCGCTTTGTTTCGCGTTTTATGCCCATCGAGTGCGCGATTCAGCGCCGATCGAGCCGGCCGACCGGGCAACAAACAATAATTTAACGAAGGAAATAAAGGGAACCTTCGGCCGGGCCGTTCGGCTCGGGACAAGTTTCCAACAATGGGCCCGCGACTACTGGCCGGCGGTTCGCGGAAAACTCCCCGCCGCGGGGAGGGAAAATTCTCGGATAACTGCGATATCGAGGAGGGCGCATTGTCTGTAATTTATCGGGGGAGGGCATGTCGGTGTGTTGCCAATTATTTGCGGGATTTATTGTGCGCCTGCCGCGAGGGTGGTGGAGGTTAAGACGATTCGAGGCCGAGTCGAATTAATGCGCCGGGCGGTGTACTTCAGCTCCCATTATGGCGTTATATCGCTCGGTCTGGAAGACCTCCGTATTTTTTTCCCTGCTCCTCTTTTGGAAAGACCCCCGCAGGAAAATGGACGAGCGAAGGGGAGTTAAATATCGGGCCGTTAAAAAATATTCGACGATGCCTCGGCGCTTCGTTCCGACGCGCCCTGTCGGTCTTGTCGTTCGTTATCGTTCATTATTGTTGGAGCGTTGCAAGCGTTAATTTTGCGGGGGTGCTTAATCTCGTATCGATTGGAAAAACTTGGAGAACGGTCTCCCCTCTGTGCAATCTTGAGCCCGGGCTCGGATCCCCTCGGAGGGCCTCCTCACCCCCCCGACTCGGTGCCCAGAAGGACGGAAAATCAAGAAAAATGCTTTAAATTCGAGGTGGCTTGATTGATTGTGTTAATAAGAAAGTTTCGTCTCCTAT